CTTTCTAGTGTGTAAGCAGGAGGTTTTCGGGCCTGCGGGAGTGGGGCAGAAGAGCAGAACTTGCCGTAGGGCCGTAGGGTTGACCTCACTTGAGAATGGGGATCCCCTGACGGGGCATTTTCGACCCGTCGACTTCTTAACTTGTCTTTACAGGCCTGACAAAAGGTCAAGGGGCGGAGCGGGCTTTGCACCTTAAATCATGATTCCAAACTCCGAAGTCTTGAAACTTCAACCCCTGAAATCCTCCAGGTTAAGGGCCAAGAGCAAGGCCCGGAACGCCGAAGAGAAGTAATTCTTTGAACGACGGAGGCCTGGGCAGCAAGGGCCAAACTGCGAGCAACCGCAGGCCCGGAACGGATGATCCTCTTCAGGATCTTCGGAGTTTGGGACCTGAACCCTTGAAATCTCACATCCTGGGCCTTTGAGTTATGAACTTCTTGGTGCGGCATGTCCTCCGAGGAGCTTCGGGCCTGGGGTGTAGGATGTAAATGCAGTGCTCGGGGTCCTTGGCATCAACAGCAGCCGACACCGACAGTGTTTGACGCTACGTGCAGCGGGAAGAACTAGATTTGATGTGTAACTTCAAGCTTGGTAAATATGTTGTTGGTGAGTTTGACGATGGTGTTGATGCTGTTGATGCTGATGATGATCGTTCTTCAATGCCAGAAGGAATTTTGTATTGCATAAGAAAGGCTGTGTCTGGAGCACGTGCTGTTCCTATGTGAGCTTGTGGTATCTTGTCACTTGTCACTCTCTATGTACAAATACCAGCCCGATTCTTCAGGGGGAGAAGTTTGCGGTGGCATTGGTGATGTTAGCATGGTGGTGGTGACGATGATGACGACGATGGTCGAGATGGTGTTGATGCACCGGTGGGTCTGTTTTCTGTTTCCATTGATCATGTTCTCTACTTGGTTGCAAGACTTTGCATGGTGTACTGATATACATATATATAGATATATGTGTGTGTGTATGTATGTATGTATGTATGTATGTAGGTAGGTAGGTAGGTAGGTAGGTAGGGAGGCAGGCAGGTAGGTAGGTAGGTACGTAGGCAGGTAGATAGGTAGGTAGGTAGGTAGGTAGGTAGGTAGGTAGGTATGTGTGTATATATATATACACACATACATATACGTATCACGAAAGTGTAGATGTGCATATGTGTCTACAGGTTGGTACATAGACGAACACATAGGCAGATAAATTTAGAGATGAAGCTTTGCATGCACACATCTGTTTGATTGCCCCCGGTGGACTCCGGAAGCCCAGATACGCCCCGAGGCTGGAAAGCAAAGCCTCGCAGCAGTCGAAGCTGCAGGAGCACTGGGTGATTTCTTTAAAGTTCAAGGCTGAGGGCTTCGAGTTGCCGTTGTAGTGCTGAAGGTGCAAGTCGCGGACTTCCAGCCTCCAATGCATCCCACAGACCCTCAACTCAACCTCTTCAGCTCCGGAGATTCTGGGTTGTAGGTGCTTCAGGGATCAGGGTGTCAGGTTTCGGGGTTTTTGGTTTAAAGTAAGTTTAAAGCATGTTCGGGCTTGGGGGTTAACGTATACCGTAGACCCAATACCTTTGACCCAGAGCCGCACACCGCACGCAAGAGAGCTGCTTGAAATCATGGGACGGAGCTGATCTACTGGCACTGCAGTATCGCAGACGAGATTCAGATTTATCGACGTCACTAGAATTTCCAGTCGCAGGCTTCACAGACTGCACGCATGATGGGTGATACATCTTCGCAGCACATTTCAACGCTGGACGAGCCCAAAAGCCAAATGTGGCAAGCAAAGGCTTTGACTCCGATGAAGTAGATGTCATGATCCTGCAACTGTTCTTCGAGCGAGTTTGATTAGTTTGCTGCTCCACTGATGTCAGGAAACGGGAGGATAGATGAGTTTCTGCTCGAAGGACTGTGTTGGAGAACGCGGTCCTGCTGCACCCATGTATGCACTCATGTGCATGGTCTAATCAAGTGGCATCGCTACTGATGCCCCATGCTCGCCCTGCTACATCACCAAAGCAAGCCCGACGCAAAATCTGGTAACCACGCAGGTAAACAAAACTAGCACATGAGACCCGAGACGCTTGGGCCTGTGGCTTCGGAGGACAACGAGAAAACCTGAAGTCCCTAAATGCTACAGCCTCAAAGCTTAAAGCCCAAACGCCTAAGTCCCATGCAGCCCTAAGCCTTAAATCCATATGCAGCTCCAAGAAGTCCTAAAGGGCTACAAACTCCACACCCATTTTCCGCCCTCCGAAAGACCAAAACAAACCCTCACCCGAAAACCCCCCGTGTGCCCAACAGTTGCCGGACAAAGCGCTTCCCGAGCTCCAGGCACTGATGTTTCGGTGAGGGTGAGGGCTTGCATGGGTTCAGGGTTTAGTGTGAAGCTCTTGGGGCTTTCGTCTTTACCTTAGGGTGCTGGGCCAAGATGCGGCTGGTCTCCTCGGTGCATCCTTGCAGTAGTCTTCTTTAGAGTCAGAGGGCCGCAGCGAATCCAGGCTTGGAGCTCCCAGGCTATAGAGACGTTGTTTGGCAATGATTCCTCCTTATGCCGTTGCTTTGGTGATCTTCATCAAGGGTGCCAGCGCCGTCCGCACCGATGCCCTCAGTCCAGAGCAAGAGCAGGACCACACGGAAGCGCATGGGGATTATTAGCCGCTGAGATGTCTCCTGCACTTCGTAAGGACCTGGAGCCCTGCGCAGCAGCATGTGTGAAACCAAATGCATGGACTCCGGGCGTCTACGAACTCCGGGACCGTGCAGACAATTTCTGGCTCCATCCAAATGCCAGGCATGTGATCAGTACTGATTGTGAACAGGAAGAACAGGAACCTCGGCGTGAGACCTAGGCAAGTGCGCCGGCATTCAGGTCAGACTTTTTGCCAGCAGCTGCATCCCGCAGGGCCACATAAGCCTGGACATAGGTTCGAACAAGCTCTTTAAGCATCACTGGACTTGACATGGCTACGGCTGCACGTTTCTTTTCCGGAGGCAGGTGTACGGAATCAGGACGACAAGTTTTTCTCAACCTGAAGCTCAGGATCTGTGTTCAGTTGCTTCCTGTAGTGCGACAGTGGTCCCGTGGATTGACGCAGCGGATCCGGTCGGCAACTCTTCGGCGGCAGTATACGTGGATCCACTGCTGGAAGCGAAGCTTCTCGACAGGACAGTTGTGTTCTTAAGCGGGCCAGCTGGCTCATCAAGTTGGCTCATAGGCATCGCACCTGGCATCGGTTGCAACCTTGATATGAGCTCTCTGTTTGGAAGAATTCATGGTTTGTGGCTTGAGTTGGAAGTTCATCATTGTCGTCAGGCTTCATCCAGCCAGTCTGAGGTCGACTCACTTGCAGTCAAAGCATTCCCTGTGTATGAAAGGTGTCTTGAGAACTTACAGAGTTTATTCACGGTGTTGTTTCGCTTCTGTTGCAACAGCATGCAGGGGCGAGGTGCGAGAAGCTTGATGCGAAAGCACCCCTAAGGGCAAAACGACGAGACAGAGTTTTGGTCAGCTGGTGGCTGGCAGTGGAGAAATGAAAGTTTTGGCTTCCTAGCCGTGATTTGGATGTCAAGGCTCAGAAAGATTATGCACCACGGGCACTTTCATTTTGAAAAGCAATGCTGACGGCGTGCTCCAAGCAATTCAAGTGAGCATAGCGTGTCTCTCTGGGACGTTCACGTTCAGACCTTCGATGTTGTTGGTCGCGCACTCTCAGCTTCAACGAGACGCGAGAGGTTCATCGCTTAGATCTGTATCTCGTAGAGCCCTCGAGAAAGCAAGCAGATTGTAGAGTATGTCGACGGAGCTGAGTGACTTTTCTCTGTAAAAACTTTCGTTGTAATTGAAGCCTCCTCCCCCCTGAGTTGCCTGATTTCCATCCATCCAAGACGGTTCGAACGACGAAGTGAGGGCAGGGAAGATGCTGTCACCAATCAGTAAACTCCAGTGTTCCGTGCACTTTTGGAGCCGGGTGCTGTCGCTTATTGATGCTGTTACTAATTCTTACTAGTGCTAGCAGGTGAGACACAGGGACAGTGAATGATATCCTTTTCTGGTGAAGTCTTTCCGCTGCCAGGGCCTCCCCATAAACCCATGGCCTCAAAAAACATCCACCCTTGCTACAAGTCCCAAGCCGTACTTTCAGATGCACCACGACAGTGTAGCTGGTATCAAATGCTACACGGAGAACAGGTCAGCGAGATACATTTTTGCAAAGGTAAAGTCAACACCTCTGCCAACATACCGGGCACGGGAGGTTTGATCCCGAGCCTTTTTTGGTCTGTCCCGCAAGCGCTCCGGAGCGCTGCCTGTGCCCAGGCTCCGTCATCTCCAGCCAGCTCCGCGTGTTTTTCTTTGCGAGGATGCTCGTCCTAGTCATGCGGGCAGACGGTGCGCACCTGGACTCGAATATCTACAGAACCGCCCGGCATCAGCATAGGACTAGACTTGGAACTGTGAGAGCGCCTGTTCATCAACGACTCATCTGCATACCAGCATGGAATGCCCAGGTGTGTGAGTTGAGTGGCGATGCGGCAGACGGCCTCCGGGCTCCGGGGCTGAATTTACATGACTAGGTCTACAAGCACATTGGTTCGCGTCATAGCAGGGTGTCGCGGAAACTTGTGTAGAAACTGCATACAGCCATAGAGTTTCGCCAGTGCCCCGTCTCAAAGGTCCCGGAATCATGTGTGATGGAGCTCGCAAGCTTGAACCTAGAAAATACGACAAGACTGTACAATCAGGGTTGTGTAAGTGACAGCAGGAGCCAACAAATGAGCTGTCATTCCTTAATTCTCTTGCCGCAGGAATGATGCCTTAGCAGTGTGACGGAGTAACTCTGCATGTTTTGGTGGGTGGAGGTACGCAAGCAGAGACTCCCCTTCAATTTTAAGCAAGCAGCTCTGCAAGAAATGGCACGACCGGACAGGAGGGCACTCCGCCCGATCTGTTAGCTGTTCACTGCACCTTGGGCGCATGAGGTGATAGAGCTTTTCGCCAGCATGATGCCGTGGGCCTCGGCCTTTAAGCTCCTTGCCACCTTTCAACTTGTAGCCGATCTTCAATGCCCCACAGCCTATGTCCTCGACGCTTTGCTGCGATGCTTTGGTTTCTGAAGGTGCAGAGTGTGTCTCAGTTTGTCTTCCGCTTTCTTTTCCTTTCTGTCATGCGCAGCATTTTCATGCAACAGCTCGCCTGGCCCAGGATGTGCTCTGCATGGTGATCCTGTTCATCTCGCTGCTGGTTCTTGCGCTTGCGCTGGAGGCCGTGGTAGCAATGCAAGGGGCAGGGCCACTTCCGGAAGAGGACCGGAGCGCATGGCTTGATGACTCTGTGACTCAGCTTTGCCAGAGTCATCCGAGCTTTTGACTGCAGATGAAGCAACTGCCCCCCCAGAAACATCTAGTTTCGAGCGGCACTGGCCCAGGCGATAAACATTCGCAGCCCGTGGCAACACTTCAAGACTGGCTTCGGCTGGAGTGCCTCGACTGGTAATTGCATATTATACTGTCGCCTGAGACGAACTAGCATCTCGGGTTTCATGCGCATGGCGTGCGTTGAACTCGTGACATTCCTCGCGCCGAGGAGGTATCACACATGATAAGTTGGAATTCCCTGTCAGACCAGGTGCTGGATTTGTGGGCTGCCTGATGACCTTGCAGACAGTCACCTTGCTTTACGTCGAGAAATCTGCAGTGCCTGAAAGTTTAGTATGGGCCATTATTTTCTTCCCGTGTTTACTGGCCGTGCTCGGTCCAGTTTGGCTCATGAAGCTGATGTGCCAGAAGCAGCTCACGGACATGTTTCTGACTCGCAGGGTGCTGTTGCTGGACCCACCTTCCTCGACCTTGATCAAATCCTTGCTGATGCTGGCCTTGGGCGTTTACGCGCTGATGGTGCTGGGGAGTGTTGCTGCTGTCAGTTGCGAGGGCTTGTTCGTCGTTTTGGGCGCACTTCTTGGCCCTTCGTGGACCCTGCTTAAGGCCCTAGCCATGGGAACTGAGGCTGAAGATCAGTTGAAGCAGGTTGAAGTTTGGAAGGGTAAGCTCAAGAACTTGAGCACAGAGCTACCTAAGCTTCGAGAAATGTCATGGTCGGACTGGCCGCAAGAAGGTGAGCTCAGCTTTGCATCGGTGAGCTTTATACAGTCCAGCACAGCTCATAGACCTGGATTTTTCCACAACATTTTCTGGCACCGCACGGCCGTGAGACAGCTCGGTGCGTCCAACGTGGGCTTTTGTGTACTGCCAAGCTTCATTGCCATCGTTGGCATCTTCCTTGCAGTCTCGTTCCTGCAGGCTGCTCGCTTTATGTGCTCGAGGGGGCAGCTCTTGGACCTCGAGCTGGCTACAGACTTGCACGCTGTGACCTTTGCCCAGCACCAGAGCAAGTACGCCGTCCACATGGACACCTCCTTCACACAGGCCTGCCAGTCCTTTTGTGCTGCGCCTGGTTAGTCGATCTACGTACACACTCGGTTTCTAATGGCTCTGAGAGGGGGTCTTGCTAATCGCTGCTCCTAGGTCCTATAGTTATAGACAGAGCAGGAAGGAGCAGTACACAAAACAGCAAAACGAGAACGAGAGGGAGACACAAAAGCAGCCAAGTCTCCCTCGAACGCAGCATGCCTGCAGCAATGTTGCTACATCCACTGGCATACTTTACTGCTTGGCCTGGCGATGTGTCTGATAGTCTAATGGTATTTCAGACGTTTTCTGCGACATGCAGCAGAAATGAACCAGCAGTAAACGCGATGGGCTACCGCCTGCACACAGTCACATTGTTTCGTTGCCCGCTTGCAGGTGGTGATGCTGGCAATGGCCGACGTGACTTCGACTCGCTGGATCTCCTTGCAGCAGCCGAGTACCGCAAGAGGAACTGCCAGCGCTCACGAGCAGGGTTTGGAGATCAGGGGCAAGAGCTTCGGCTCTGAGGAGCTTCAGCTGTCACAGGCTACCTGGAAGCAGACTGTGTTTGGGTGGCAAGTCCATCCTGTGCTACATGGGCTTGCGGCTGGGCTGTCAATTCAGGCTACAGGTCCTTCAACTGAGTGTGACTGAGGCATTGATCCCACGAATCAGCCGGGTGCAAGCAAAGGGCCTAAGGCCATCCTTGCAGGCGAAGGAGTATTTCGTCCGCTTCTCTCCAATGCAAACCCTGCCTTCGCACGTCACCGTTAGCAAGGAGAATTTCACAGCAATTTCTCAGCACTTAGATTGGAATGGGTGCTGTGCCGGTCGCGAAGCCTCAACATGGCAGCATGGCGTGCCGACCCATTTTTGTCAGGCGAGAGTTGCCTGGTCGACACTGCCTGGAAGCATTATGAGCTTGCCGGAAGGCGCACCGGAGCCATTCGTGACACTTGCGCAGCAGAATGACCGACCGTGTTAAAATCCTTTTCCGTTGCGTTTGAACTACTTGAAATGCAATATGGCCCTGGCAGGTGTGGACAGTTTCGACATACACGTGAACTTGCTAGACTTTTTCCTGGGCATTCCCGCAGATGCAAACAGAGAGCCATCTGCCATGGCAGACATGCTGCAGTGGACCTCTTTTCAGGCTGCACCCAATGCCACTGAATCCTGGTGCCAGCATGTGTGCGAGGCGCGCCCTGAATGCCTACGGTCCTTTTTCGGGCAAGGGGGCTGCTACTTCGCGTGCCACCACCATGACCGCATCCAACGATTTTTGCCGTCCCTGGTATCTGGCAGGAAGCTGAGTGGACAGCTGGACGGCTGTCGTCGTTCGGAAGTTGAACGATGCAAAGAGGTGGTAGCGCAGGAGCATCTGCTCATCTTCAAGGATGTCCCTCCTGATTGGCGTGGGGCGAATGCGCAGCTTAGCCTTTCGTTGGTTTTGCAAGTGGGCGGGCAGCGCTTCATCGCGAATTCGGGCACCCTGGAGCTTCGAAGAGGGCTCCCAGCACCTTCCGATGCATTTGTGCTGCTTGATGATGGTGAGGCGATGAAAACAGCAACCACGATCGATGGCTTCGGAAATGTCATCATCACTGCCAGCTACTACGACCCACTGAAGATCACGTCGCTGAACCTGTCCGTACTGCCTATGCTGCCTGACAGAGCAGCTTGTTCGTTGTATCCGCTTTCGAATCCGTGTCATAGTCACATCCATGTGAAGTTATTCTTGTACGTTCTTATCGTACTTTGCGCCCCGCCTTGGCCGAGGCATTCGAGGTGGTCTGGACTCCTGCCCAGCTGCAGACGGATGCACCCGCCTTGAAGCTGCTTCAGCAGGGTGGCAGATGCAAGGAAAGTGCCATGGTGTATCACCGCTATGCTCTCTGTGGTGCCCAGGGTGACCTTCAGGATGTGCCATCCACCGTGGGCGTCTCGCCTTGGACAGGTCAGCTGGAGGCACCTTTGCAGTTTGTCGTGGCTTTGCGCAGCAAGGATTTGCAGGTCTGGCCAGAGGCACCAGTGCAGACGGTGCAACTGAAATTCGATGGCGTGGACAGCCCTGCTGCCTGGGCCGCTCAGCATGGCTGCAAAGTGCTGGATCATCCATTGGCCAATCGTAGCATTGTTGCCTCGGCTGATGCAACCTGCAAACTGCTCGCCGAATGCCCGGAGCAACTTTGCCCACTGGTCGACGAGCAGGGACTGGGCGGATCAAGCGACATCGGCGACTACTCCCTGGGCCAACCAGTCGAGCGCGCCCCCCTTTTGAGTCAGAATGCAATTGCTCCTGTGCACAAATACGACTAGACTTCTGCTGACCCGTTCCCTCTGAGTCTGACATGTAGGCTGACGGACGAACCGCACTCGAGACCTTTGCTTTGCAAGGGTTGTCGCTTCAGAGGACGTTTCTGTGGTAATTATGTGTTTGGTGCCTTGGCTTCATTCTTGGGTCGTAGCAAGTGTGCGCATCTACCTCTATTTGCCGGATAGAGTTGTTCCATTCTCCAAACAAACAACCAAGCCTGCCTGAAGATGATGTTAGGGAACCTGGGTTGGGAAAGCGGGCGGGCAATGTCGCTTGCAGCCTGTCTGTCGTGCTGACAAGTGACAGTTAAGTTTTAAAGTTGAGCAGTACTCAGTCGAACTGAAAGCTAAGGCGCACGTCATGATTTGTATGCATGGACTGAATGCCTGCACCAAGACTCGCTGGCCTTGGGGCTACGAATATGGGGAACTGTATTTGCACCAGCATGGTGCCAAGATGGCTGTGAACGCACTGCTGTCTGAAGTGCTGCAAGCAGGCACTAGGGGCCTCGAGTTCCTGCAGCACATGATCATGACGAGCCTGGATTCGGAAAACAGCTATTTTTGGATTCTCTCAGATCTAGCCAGAGCAATCTGGGAGCTGCCAAGTTTGACAGCACAACTGGTGAAAACCGTGGCTTCTCTGGACCACAGAATGCCGAAACAGCTGCTCGAGGCGCTGGCTCGTTCGAGCAGCAGCGCTGTTATGCATGTCAATGGCACCGAAAGGGATCTGTTGCGTGCTGCCTTCGCAGATGTTCACGAACTGAGGGTAGCCCTGGAGGAGGTTACAAAGATGCGCCAGGTTGTCACGGCACTAGACTTGGCCAACAACGTTACAGTGCTGACAGTTGGCTGCGCTGCCTGCCCTCGCGAGAATCGGCAGCCGCTACCTGCGCACTGGACGCACTTGGTGCAGCACATCCCGCGGCTCCGTGTGCTTCGGCTGGAGCACTTCGTTCTCAGGCTGCCTGCGTTGGAACAACTGGTGGAGGCACTTGGCTCGGCCCACTCCTTAGATACTTTCTGGCCCGAACAGCTGGAGTTAGGCCAACACGCCAACAAGCTAGGCCAAGCTCTGGCCCGGCTCCCAGAGCCCAAACGCCTCATGGCCTTGGGTCTCCGGGCCAACGGCCTGGGAACGGAGGCTTACTGGCTCCCGCAGCTGCTTCCAAACTTCACATCTGTAGGACTGCTGAATATCCGAGACAATGGCCTTGGGGATGCCATAGGCCAAGAGCTGATCGAAAGCATCAAAGCCCTACCGGAGCTGTGGAGAGTGTTGGTGGGTGGGAACAGGTTCCGCGAGAGGACTATGAAGCGGATGAGTGAGGCTTGCGGTTGCGAGGTGGCAGAATAATTCGCTTGATTCTGGTGCTGAAAACCGTGTCGAGAAGGAAATGCCCTCACAAACAGCAGCGACAAAAGGAGCGGAAAGTCGGGCATCCGGCACTTGTGATTCTCCTCAGAAACCAGCTCGTCGACAAGACAAGTTTCCTGGGGTTTCTGTCCGGGTCAGCGAGCACGGCTTTTGTTCGGGTTTGCTTAGTGATGCCTTATTGTTGGAAGGGCACAGACCTCGGAGAGCAAGCGGCTCGCCTGAGCCGCTCGACAAGAGGTACAGTTGAGGCTGCAGCCCAAACTCCTGTGGCAAGGAGCCGGCTTGGCTGAACTTAAGGACAGCCTTGCACAGTTAGTCGGAGGCACTCGGATACTGGGGACATCGTGAGCGGATCTGTCCCGCAAGGAGACAAATCCGGATGGAACGCTTTGCCTCCACCGCCTTTTCGCCAGCAGAATGCAAAACCCTAAATCCTATAGTATAGTATAGTATAGTAGAGTACAGCATGCAATACTACGGTATACTATGGTCTAGAGTCTGGTTAGTATAGTAGTATAGCCTAAACCCTTTAAACCCGAAATCAGGCACGAGAAGCTCGCCGCAGCGAGCAGCTTCAGCACGAAGGATCAACAGCGTCGCCGCTCGGGTGCATGTCGGCGAAGCGAGGGTGCCGAAACCAAGATAGTCCTTATAAGGGTTTTCAGGCTAGGATGATTCTAATTGCATTCTCGAGCGCTACAGGTCCAAGTCCCGGAACTGTTGGATCTGAAAACGTTGGCACCCCAAGAAGGCCGGTAGTCAAACCAATGGGTCGCTGAAACTAAAAGCCCGGAAGTGCCATCCTTGTGAGAATTTTGGCGGCTCTGCTAAAGTTTGGGATTCTGGCTAGAATTCTGGCAGCTTCGCACGGCTTTTGCGCGTCTCGTGGTGCTTTGAAAAGTTTTTTGAAGAGTAAAGACTCTCTCATTTGGGCTCGGCTCAAACTTCTCTTGTCTCGGGCTTGGTTCTACATCCTGGAGCCTGGAACACCGAATGCTGCAGTCAGATCCTCGATGGTCTTGATTGAACCTCTCAGTCTGCAGTCAGTGAAGGCCTGGTTTCAGAACTGAACCCAAGGCCCACCTTGCGAGATTATAATGAAGCAAACTCCAAACCCTAAGCCCCAGATTCAGGCTTGCAGCTTCCATGCAGCCGAGCCGAGCGCTCAGCGTGCTCGTGGGAGGGGTTTGGACTTGGGTTCCAACCAAAGTGGGTTTAGGCGGGAACTGGTACAGGATTCTCCCCAGGATTTAGGGTTTTGGGTTTTGTCGGGTTTACACAAGGTTTCGCAAGCCTTGTCGAGACTTGAAGGACAGCTACAGCTACAGAATCACGCTTGTCTCAGTCCGAGTGTCGTGGTCAAGAAGGAATCCTTGCAAGAGACCTTAACTAAGGTCGCCCTCAGCCTTAAGCCCTGAACTCTAAGTCCTAAACCCTAAACCCTCGTTTCGGAATTCAGCGCCGCTTCAGGGATCGTGGCTTCGGCTCTGGGGTTCAGCCCAGCACCGCCCTAACTCCGAGCCTATTCCCCGGGGTCTGATAAAGTCTGAAAATCCCTGCCGGTAGCAAAAAGAAGCCTGCCGTTTCAGGGTTCTCTTTGCATAACTCCTGAAACAGGTAAGTTTTTGGGCTAATTATACGAGAATATACCCCAAAGCCAACGAAGCTTCAAAGCCCCAAACCCTGATACTTAAACCTTCAAGCCCGAGCCTCTGAATCCCGGAAAGACTTCAGCCTCCAAAATAGTCACACCACTGATCCACCTCAAGCGCCCAGGCAAGCCCGTGCAGGCTCCCGGAATGAAGCACGGGGGGGGGGAGGGGAGGTTCCGGGTTGAGAGGGAGCAGTGGTGCCGGATGTAGAAGGGAATGGGTTCTGCGGCTTCGGGCTGTGGAGTCTGGTGGCCGAGAGACTTGGGGAGTCTATGAGACTGTGTGACAGAGATCTGAAGTCGAAATGTCAGCCGCAAGCTTGAGCCCTAAAGGCGAAACCCCCAAAGCCCAGGTTCTAGTGCCAGACCGCCGCTCACCTTCGAAGGCCCCTTGGCGTTTCAGCCTGGGCTTGGATGTGCGTGTAAAAAAAAGTAAGTATACAGAAAAATGCTGCCATAGGGTGCGATGCTGTGCTACAAGGTGATTTTGCATGTTGGTATATTCTCGAAGAGTTCCGAACTGCGATCAGCGAGCCATGTTTCCCTACTGTGCCACACTGACGAACATTATACCGTTCACCCGGATATTGCAACCTGGTCTTGTTGGCGCATTGCCCAGCCTTTATAGTAGGCAGCATATGCGGCACCGTGTTTCGTAAGATTTATGTTGTATGGGACTCAACCGCACCTCATCCTAACTTACCCCAACCAATAGGAATCCAATCTAGTCTTGTTCTGCTGTGTTCCGTTCTATTCTGCTCCTAAACCCTATCCTGCACCCTAGACCGTAAGCTTCCAGTCTGACACATGAGAGGGTTCCTGACGTCTGTCTTCCGTCAGTGTTAGTTCAGTGCCGGAGTACAGAATTAGTAAGGGAATGCATGCCAGGAGGCCCACACTTCGTTGCGCAGAGAGAGACGAACCGACCATGGGGTTAGGGCATATAAGGTCGCTGCAGGTACACCATTGGTACAACGCAGTACAGCGGAGCGCCGTCATGCGAACAGTGCAGCAGAGCATATAAACATTCGATATACAGCAAATTGACATGTCCCTTACCAACTCAACGAGCGTATTCCAGCACCCAATAAACCTTACCCCAACTCGAAGTCGATAGTGGCGACAGGAAAGCCACGAGCCTTTCAAGGCCTCCTTAATGTGTAACACCCTGAGTAAGCCGCTGGACCCTATCCCAACCTACAAGTGCCAAACACCATAAACCCTGCGTAAACCCTAGAGCCTAAACCCTTAAATGCCAGGTGTGGACGATCATACTTTTCGTCTGGGCTCCTCGTCGGCCGGAGGGCTCTCACCCGGGTTTCAGGTTTTCCGGGTTTAGTGCTCAAGGCTGCCATTCAAGGCGGGAGCATAGAGATTAGGTATGGAGGTCTGGAGAGCTATGCATACCCACAAAATCATTGTTAAGGTGCCTTTCCCGGGTTGGATGAAAGCCGCGGCCTTTTGGAGTTTGAAGGTTGAGCTGTGCAGGATCTTTGGGGCTGAAGGTTGAACATACGGGCTCTATAAGGGCTCTACAAGGGCTCGAAAAGGTTGCAAGATTTGCGGATGCGGGCTTCTTGAGGCGTTAAGCCCCAACCCTAACGCCTTACAACTTCTCCGATTCAAATTCTGCAGGAGGACTGTGCCAAGGAACTTATCGAATCTTTGAGAAATGTGATGAATGACAAAAATAAACAACCCATACCAGTTAATGACAAATGATAAAGATAGTGATGTCTGTAAGAACAAGAGAAATGTATATGTTGATAAGCTCAAGGATATGCTTTGGAGTTTTGTATTGCATGCGGGTAAGGATGGTTTAGGTGGCTTTGGTTTAAGGTTATGGTAAAAGTTCAGGGTGAAAGTGGGGGCGGGAGGTGTACGCGAGGACGTAGGCATGAACTGGGAAATGTCGTTTGCTAGCTTTAAGCACATTCTATGCCGTTTTCCCCAGCTTTGATCGGAGTTCGGGGTTTCGGGTTTTCAACTTTGCATCCGAACTGAGAAAACTCAGAATCCGAACGAAACCCCAGAAACTTTAGCCGCAACCACTCCTGCGACCCGAAGAACCTTGAGCCCCAAGTCCGAACCCGCCCATCCCTCAACCGGGTTGAGGGCTTGGCCTTGATCTCAGGTTTGCATTGGCTTCGTTGCGCTCGCAGCCGGACAGCCCGCGCCAGTAGTAAGTGGTATGTAGTGAGATAGGCTGAGATAGGTAACTTGGTAAATAAGTCTGGCATCGTCGTCGTAGCAGCAGCAGGAGCAACAGCTGCACAGAGCAGCATCAGTTGTGGTCTCATCACCATCACCGGCGCCGACACAACGATCACATTCAAGAGCAGCCACATTCAAGATGTTGGCAATGAAAATTACTAGTTCAATGACCGTTTTCGGTGATGCCCGCAGGATATCCTTCGGCCGAGGGCGCCTACGAAAGCCTCGAGGACATTTCGGGAACACGACTCAAGACTATAAAGTTGCAGGCTCCCGATTCGCCAAGGAGGCTCGGAGCCGTAGATCGAGGCTGTGGATTTACGCCCGTGCGTGGCCTGCAACCAAGCAAGCAGGTTGCACTCTCGGGCATAATATTGTCATTGGGAGCTTGTTACCAGCACTGTGATGGCTTGCCGAGGAGATGAGGATGATGATCTGTACTGCCAACAGCGCTGCCGGAAACACTTTCCCCAAAACCCCAGCCCACAAGGTCTGCAGACATTCGTTGTTCCCATTGCTGTAGTTGCTGCTGTGGTTATAAAAGCCGCTACTGGTGTTCGTATTCTGATTGCTATTGTTCTCATTGGTGCCACCGTTGTTTTGGCTACTCAGTTTCAATGATGTAGGTGTCAATGTTGTTGCTAGCGTGCTTCATGTTTTCATCACTGCGGCTTCCTCTTACTCCCGCCGCAGGATCGCATCTGCAAGCTCCAAAGCGCCGAGTTTCGATCGGTGTCCCAGGCTGCCTCTTTGGCTTAAGGGCTAGAAAGGAGAGGTGCCGCACAAGGTTCTCAACCGGCTTGGAATATTCATCCTTTAGCAGTGCATCTCAGACAGCATGTCGTCGAAAGGATGATGGTCTTGACCGGTACAACTTGCCGACGCCTCAGTTGCAGGGTTTGTCTGGGCTTTAGAGACATCGTCATCGAGTTCCTAGAAGCAGATTCCTGCTGCTACTCACTACTCCTCTAACGATGCTAACGGATACAGCTGTACTAGAATCATAATCAATTTGTCTACGACTGCTGCTGCTGCTCCTCCGACTCCTGCTCCTGCTTCTCCTCCTCCGTCTCCTCCTGCTGCTGCGCCTCCGTTTGCTGCTGCCGGCGCAGAT